CCCTGTCATCCAGCCTGTAGCCAGTTGCTATACTGACTGTGCTATCCCGGCTCCTCACGTCCAGCCTGTAGCCAGTCGCTATACTGACTGCACTATCCTGGCTCCTCACGTCCAGCCCGTAGCCAGTCGCTATACTGACTGAGCTATCACGGCTCCTCACATCCAGCCCGTAGCCAGTCGCTATACCGACTGCGCTATCCCGGCTCCTCACGTCCAGCCCGTAGCCAGTCGCTATACTGATTGTGCTATCCCGGCTCCTCACGTCCAGCCCATACCCAGTCGCTCTACTGACTGTGCTACTGCAGCTCACAGAATTACTACAGTAACAAGCAAACTTATGATTAAGTAAAACATATGAAAACATTTGCATATAACATAATTTCTAAATCAATTACTGTGTTCTCCCTCTCTTGTGTCATGTCGGCTCACAATGCCTTAGCTGACCAACTAAGAATGCAAAAATTATGTCACATGTCAGGTTTTAAATGAAAACTGTTTTCTAGTTTCCAAATTAATATCTACAATGTAAATTCTACACAGAAGTTTTTTCATGGAACACTAAAAGTAATCACTGTTAACCAAACTACTTAATTTATTGTTAATGCAGCAGCACTAATTAGGGTACAAAAGTAACTTCACAAGATTCTTACAGGAGCTTTGCTCCAACTTGATAACAGACACACACATCCAAACACATCTATATCAACATGTAATAAATAAAATCTTCCAGTCTCAAAGAGTAATGGACCCTTCCTGAAGCCCAAAGAATTCAGAAATCAATAATATACAGCACCCATTTACATTTCTTCATTTTTAATGACAACTTTAAACGTACATTAATTTCATTATACACAAATCAATTTTTGTGTGGATTTTTTACTGAATTAAAAGTTGTTCAAAGTTCAAATTTTGTAAAAATAAAAAAGTAACTGTTATGCTTGCAACATAGCATTTAATTTCTCTTTCTGGAAACCCAGTTGCTCTAATGACTCAACAAACAAAATCTACCTATGAAAAACAATTTTGTTCAGAACAAAACTTGTTGCATTTCATGTAACTGGAAGAAGCGCTAATGAAATCACATAAAATACCATCATTAATTACCCCCCTCCCCCCAATGAAGGATGTTCACAACAGTAACTTGCAGATGTTATCAAGACAAATGAGTATTGTTGTATAAGTCCAAAGTACCCCATAATGTAGTGTCCCTCATAGAAAAAGTGAAAAGTCTGAGAGGGTTGTACCACACATAATGATATCATAGAGCTATTTCCTTCAGATCATCTGGCAACTCATTCTTTGGATGTTTATTCTCGAAGTGTTGCTTGTATGTTTTAGGATCTGGCATTTGTGCCTGAAAAAAAAAATGAAGAAAACATTATATACAGCATAACTATCATGCACTTACTGCACTATCACTTAAGTCCAGGACCTCTCAAATATGAAACAAGAACAGTAACCACTAACCATAACATTCAGCATTACTACAAATACTGCTGTGAAATAATTCAGTCAACTGAAACAGCACCATAAACGAAAACTTTCTTAACTGACTGGTTCAGACATGAAAAAAAGTATACCACAACAGCCTACAACATTTCTCTCTACACCACAGTTTTTTTAACCTTTTTAAACTCATAGCACATGAAACAAGGCACTAAAATTGTCAAGGCACACCATCAATTTTTAAGGACTGATTTCATCGTTAAAAAAATGAGTAATAAGGTTGTGTTCAAAAGTTCAATAGCTAAAATTCTAATCATTGTTATTTTTAGAAATAATTTTGATCATGGATTTTGGTGATTTTTTTACTCCTTAATTTTTCCTCTCTTCTTTTCAACCTTCTCCAAAACTCCTGAGGCACACTTGCAGACCCTTCACATCACACCAGTGTGCCATGCCACAGAGACTGAAAATTGCTGCTCAACAGTATTTTTTATTTTTTCAATACTGGATGTTATGACTGAATTGTGAACACACGAAGCAGAGTCACTAGCAATACATTAAAATTATTATTTCTCAATTCTCATGGTGCCCACCTTTCACAGGAGGTCTCAGTAAACTGAAGACACAAGAAGACCCCACACACACACACACACACACACATACACACAAAAAGACAGATTCTACATCAATTACATCTCTTCCCCTTCTTTAAAGAAATTATCCATCTGTTAGTTGCAGATTAATAAATATTACAAAACAATATTTAGACAGGTCTGACTGTGGTAACATATTTTACAATGTTGCTTCTTGCTTGTGTTTATTAGTTAAATAAAATTTTATTACTCCATCATGCATAATTTACTTCTACTGTTACACCTGCCACTGTTGGACACTGACAGAAACACAGCTTGTCTAACAGCATAATAATGTTTATTCAATAACAGATACTAGCAACTTCTTGACACCATGAAGACAATGCACATACTTTCTCATATATGTCTGACAAATAACAACCTTATTATGTGGATAATTAAACAAAATCGGTCAATCATTTCCAAGAAACTGATATCTCTCATCTGAGCTGCTTAGGGGCATACAGCTATTTTCCTGGAAACAGCATCAATGCAGTTTATTTAAGGATATGTTACCTAAAACTAACTTGGTAAAGGATTAGAATGGTGATCTGCTTGCAGATTCCCACAATTCTCACAACAGTGTGAATAGGTGGAAGAATGACTTTCTCAACTATTGAATGTACAGTGATGTTGATGATAATGATAACAATAATTTAGTTACCACCCATACCTGCTACACAGACACTATTGGATAAGTCAGTTCAGACAGCCAAACACTACATGTCAACAACTCTTAAAATGTACGAAATAATATACAAAACAATGAATAATACAATCCCTTTTTGATCAGTAACCCCTTGCTGCAGCTTACCAACCATGGATGACAACTCCCAGCAATTCAATACAAAAGCAATAAATATACTTAAACCACCAAAAACACAAGTCAGCCATGTTAAACAGAGCATCACACATTTAGTGAAGTTAACAGTCCAAAGACCCTCTATATACTTTCGTATCACATCAAGACTAACTCGAGTTACCAGACTACTGTCTATCACTGTTACTAAACAACTCTTGCAGAGACTAAAAACAGTTTTGTAATAAATAACTTTTTAATTTATTTTTAAAAATCTTAAAATTTGCTAGGGTAAGTTGTTATGTATTTTTATTCCCCTGTTAATTACACTTTTTGACAATGAACAGTGTCCCATACAGAAATACATATAGCTGAACCATAAATACCTGAGTCTAGTTCTTTTGAAACTGAAACTGCTATTGAAAACAGAATTATTGGGGTTTTGGTCTTTTTCCATCATCCGGAATTCTAGGTAACAGAGGACACTCTGGGTCCCCAATAATTCTGTGTCTCATCCACCATCGTCAGAACCCTTCAGAACCTACTTGCTGTTGAAAAGCTGAGCAGACACAAAATGCCAGGTTTTGACTAAATTCCAGAAGGACTGAGTCAAGCAGGAGGTGAAAGATTACATTCTGAAAACCACAAACTAATTAATTTTATTTGGAATAAGGAAGAATTGCCTGAGCAGTCGAAGAAGTCTATTACTGCACCAATTTACAAATTAACATCATCATCATCATCATCACTGGCTTGACAGCCCTTTGTGAGCCCTGGCCTTCCTCAGGATTGCTTGCCATTCTTCTCTATTTGATGCTACATTCCTCCAGTTCTTTATGCCCAAAATTCTTATGTCCTGCCACACACATTCTTCCCATCTTAACCTTGATCTTCCCACTCTCCTATTTCTCCTATTTCCTTCTGGTTTACCAATTTACAAATAGGGCAATTAATATGACTATAGTAGTTATTGAGGCATATCACTGTCAACTTCATATAAATGTTATCAATACCCTTCTCTCTAGCTTAACTTCACATGCAGATGAAATTACTGGGGATCATCAGAGTGGATTTTTATGCAACAGATCAACTAATCAACTACTGATCAGATTATTGCATTTGGCAAATGGTGGAGAGAAAGAAAATGGAACTGAAATGAGAAAGTACATCGGCTATTCAGAGGCTTCAAGAAAGCCTATGACTCAGCTAGGGGGAACTGCTGTACAATATTCTCATAGTTAGTTAGTTAGTTAGTTAAGATTACAAAAATGTGTTTAAATGAAACCTATAGCAAAGTCCACATATGTAAATATTTGTCTGATACATTTCCTATCAAAAATGAGCTTAGAACAAGGAGACACCTTACCACCATTGCTTTAGAACATGCCGTTAGGAAGGTCCACGAAGACCAGGTAGGACTGAAATTGAATGGGACACATCACTCCTGGTCAATGCTGATGATGTAAATTTATTGGGAGATAACACAAATACCATGGGGGTACGCAGTAGCGTAGTGGTTAAGGTACTATGCTACAAGCCAGAAGGTCGCGGGTTCAAGTCCTGATGAGGTCATTGGATTTTTTCAATTGACCTAATCCTTCCGGCCACACTAGGCCCTGGGGGTTTACTCAGCCTCTAACAGAAATGGGTACCAGGAATTAATTAAATAATTTTCCTGGGGAGTGAAGGGTGGCCAAGCACGTAAGACTGACAACCATACCGCCATCTTTGAGCCGACTGTCAAGATAATGTGGGACCCTTAATATCTCACAACCCTATGGGCCTTCACGGCCTGTTAAAGGGATAGCTTTACTTTACTTTTTAACAAAATACCATAAAGAAAACAAAAAAGTGGGTCCAGAGGTAAATACAAGAAAATGAAGTATATGTTGATGTCTTGCCACCAGAATGCAGGGCAAATTCATAACATACAGACAGCTAACATATCCTCTGAAAATGGGACAAACTTCAAACATCTAACTTGAAGCATGCTTTCCTTTAATGCAACATGGACAGCAAAGAAAACAAAAACAATAAGGGGATACACAGACATGCAGACAGCAATGTGATCTCATAAGGTACCTAGCAAAATTTAGAGAGGGATACACAGACAGACAGCAACACTATCTCATAAGCCTCATTTTATTTTTTCAAGATATGAAAAATAGGCTAAGAATGAATAAATATCTAATCATTATCCACAATCCTTATGCACTATCAAGGACTGAAAAATTTTGTGGTCCTGGTCACCCAGAAATTACACTGTGATCTACCACCGCTCATATTAATGTCCGAATTTGGTGTAAATATTGTGAATATTTGCTGAAACCTGAAGCAAGTTGTTAGGCAATGACATGATAAATGGCGACACAACAATAGAACACATCACACAGCGCAACATAACCAATGGAAGTACCACTGGGAATGATGTTTTCTTTCAGTCAATGCGGATAGCCATGTCATGCAACAACAGAAGAACTGTTTGAAGCGGTGTCTTCCCTTGAGTCCCTCCGAGGGCTATATCATGATGACCAGCAGGACAAGCCAGTAAGTCAAAGGGTGTACAGAGTTCTCAAAGACCTGGATGCCATGACAGCACAGCTATACTCATGCTGAAACTACGGTGCAACAAATGTAGTGCCTAAACAGAAAGACCAACCCCTCCATTGTTGAAGAGGTGGCCCCGTTTCTAAACATGTACATATCTAGCAGAGAACAAAAATCTTGGTCATGGATCTCAAGGAGACTGAAGCCAGGAACAACTGTGCTGGCGAACCAACTGCCGAAAGCCAGTGAGTCGAGTAGTATGCAGTTAGCACTTGGCAGACAGACGCGCTGGAGGTCGTTGCAGACAGTTGCTTCCTAGTAGAGGTGTAGGAGCCCCCACTGTTGTAAGCTGTTGTATAGCAATGGCAAGTCTTGTAGTGAGATAGATGCCAGCCTGCAAGGACATGTGCCCAGACTCAGAGGAGTGTCTCTTGTTGGAAGACGTTACCCAGCAGCGTAGTGAAGACCATGACTGGGAACATTAGTAGGTGTGTGACAGTGATTTGTAAAGTGTCATCACATGTATCAAGAGTTGGAGGTTAGAGACTGCAGTTCGAGAGCCAGTAGGGAGTGAGGAACAGCCCCCATTAGAAAACTATGGCCAGGCAATGACCAGTGAATGCTGTAACAAGCTGAGAAGTCTGGTGTGGGTTATAGTGATTTATGTGGCATTATAGTTACTTGTAATTCCAAGATGTAAGTGTGCAATAAATCTATTTACCAATCCAAACAGTCCTAAATACATGACAATATATCAACTCCAAAATTATTATTCACTTCAATGCCTAAAAATGAAGTAATAGCTTCTACTACTGGATTAGATTTCTTGAAGCCTTAAGAAACTTAAATTTCATCATTGAACAAGAACATTTAATACACTGCCCTATGACTCAGGTCCAAAATTTAAAGTTTTCATAAGCAGCTATGACGAAGAGGAGGACAAACAAGCAATACAAAATTATTACATTTCAGACTGTAAAAGTGATACAAAGTTATGGGATAAAAAAAAAAGGATCACTAAGATGACGCTGCCAGCATATACGATGGGGTACCCAAAAGAAACCGAACTAATTTTTTTGTGGGCAGAGCTTTTGTAGTACCGCGTTTTGCCGCTATGAGCGCATAGAGCTAACATTCCTGAGTCGATAAGCCAACTACCGTTGCTTCAGAAGGTAAGGACTAGTTTTGGCAGAGTTTATAGTGACAATTGTTTTGTGTGATCATCATTTTTGCAATGGCTGATTTTCGTGAACAGCGTGTGGCAGTGAAATTCTGCTTTTTGCTCGGGAAAAGTGGAACAGAAACTCTTGAAATGTTAAAAACGGCATACAAAGACGATGCTATGGGGAAAACTCAAGTGTTTGAGTGGTTTTCCCATTTCAAAAATGGTGAAATGTCAATTGATGACAAACCTCGTTCTGGTCGTCCTTCCACGGCCCGAACACATGAAAATGTTGAAAAAATTCGTGAAATCATCAAGGAAGATCGACGACGGACCATTGAAGAAATTGTGGAGCTGTCGGGAGTGACTTGGAGCTCAGCGGCCAGATTTGTGGCAGTCGGGTGACTGGTTTTTCCATCATGACAATGCCCCTGCTCACACAGCCCTGTCTGTACGACAATTCTTGACCAAAAATGGTATGACCCCTGTTCCTCACCCTCCATACTCACCCGACCTTGCCCCGTGCAACTTTTTTTTGTTTCCTCAAATGAAAAGAGACATGAAAGGAAAAAACGACGGAGGCGCTGTCAAGCATCTCAAAAGATGAATTTAGACAATGTTTTGAAAAATGGAATAAAAGACTAGACAAGTGTATTAGTGTAAGTGGAGAGTACTTTGAAGGGGATTGAAGGTTTGTGCTTAAAATTTGAATAAATAAGTTTAAAAAAAATAAGTTCGGTTTCTTTTGGGTACCCCCTCGTATTTTTAGCTTGATTTAATGACACTGTCAGTGCCAAGATCATACAGCATCAGATAACTGGATGATTAATGAACGTGAAGCAAATGGTAGAATGGCAACTGATAGGGAAAACAGAATCATTTGCAGGAAACCCATCTCAGTAGGACCTTGCCCACCACAAATTCCACATGGCCCACGACTGAACTTGGGTGGGAAACTGGCGACCAACCACCTAAGCTATGGCATGGCCAGCCGCCTGCATGCAAGCCATATGAATCACATGAGCAGGTTTTAGACTTTATCATTACTGGTCTCGGGGGCATGCGGTAGCATAGTTGATTGAGGCACTATGCTACAAGCCAGAAGGTCGCAGGTTCAAGTCCCAATGAGGTCACTGGCAATTTTTCAACTGACCTAATCCTTCCGGCTGCACTATGGCCCTGGGGTTGACTAAGCCACTAACCAGGAATTAAATAAATAATTTTCCTGGGGAGTAATGAGAGGCTGGCATGTAAGGCTGACAAACTTACCACCATCTCTGAACCGGTTGTCTAAATAATGTGGGACCCTCAATGTCTCACAACCCTATGGACCTTCACGGCGTGGTACAGGGATAGCTTTACTTTTTTTTATTAATGGTCTCAATAACATGCAATAAAATACATATTTTATAGTAGCACCTCATACCTTACAAACTGAACAAACATGGACAAGGGCTGCTTGTGCCGCTTTCTTCTGCAGATTAGCATTATGACCCTGTTGCTTTTTCTGTTTCGCCAGTTTCTCTGCAGCTTTGGCTTGTGACTGAAGTTTCTGCTGCCCCCTGGCCATTTTACACCTATATCGTAAGAATAAATTGATCAAACATTACCCAACAATATGCATCCATGCCTCTATATAAAAACTGTTATTTTAATACGTTTATATTCGTATGACTTCATTACAATTATGTAAACTGTCCTGTACTTTATGTTAATGAATTTGGTTAAGACAAAAACACAACATTTGCTCCTGTTTCATGTCAATGCCCTGCATCCTTCCGCATATACATTATGTATACCTATGTCTACTAACATTCGTTAACTTCACAGATTTGGATTACACACCATTCACACAATCGTAGGCTATATTAATCGCCAAAAACTTAACTTCGGCAATAAATCGAACTCCTATTAAAACAAACTGCTAATAACAAGCAGGTAGCCTCTCGGATATGACCATTACAGGAAGTTACAAATGAACTCAGTGACACAATTTTACGACATAATCGAATATTCTACATATGTAGTCTTTATAAATAATATCATAATTCACCAAATGAAGATTTTCTATATAACCACAAGAGTATTTTCAGTAATTCTAAAAATAATATATTGAGAAATTATTTTTGTATATAATGTGACTTCAACATCGTATTTGAAAAAGTTTACCATTAAGTATTTCAGGATATGTATTTTTCTTTTTCTTCATGTAATCCAATGAAACCTCGTTTAAATCAGTATGTTATCCTCTGGGTTAAAAATGCACCGAATTTGTTATACCAAATGTTTCAAAGACTAAAAATACGTGCTGGCATTGAGGGCCACGATTCGCCCGCTTAGGAGATGAGACTCTGTGCAGGCTATGAAGGTAACGAAGAATTATTCTTGGTTGATTAACCATTTATTTTGTGTATATACTTGTACGCTGCATAGTTTTAAAGTTCGTTTAAATGTAATCATTGCACCTCATAATGAACTAATTCTGCTAACACCAACTTCAGCTTACGAATGGGATATTTAATTTCTTTATTTTGGGAAATTTTGTAACCTAGCACTGATGTAGTGGGGGAATTCGAATATGGGACTGGAGAAGGTATATATTTTCTCTTGCAGTGGTAGGGTACGAGAGAATTTCGTATTTGTATATGTTTTTGAGGTTTTATCTGCATCGTTCTTACTCACATATACAACACAACAGTGTATATGATGAAATTACTTATGCTCGTAACCACTTTGAATAAAAATAAATATTTAGACTAAGGTAAAAGTAATGCACATTAAGGCTAAATGTGCTATTGTGATTCACGTCAAACAATTACAGCGCTTGTAATTAGTCCAAATGGTCCAGATGAACGTTGCTGTGGACTGTGGACTCATATGTGGCAGTTGAAAGGATCGATGGGTCGTTTTAAATGTGTTTGACTTACACCAGATTCTGGAAGGTAGCAGCTCTTGCATGTCATGGATGTTTGCCACTGTCGTCACTGTGCAGTTATTTTGATCTGTATTTGCCGGAATGGTACCGTAAAAAGTTAGGTTACGACCGCGTCCTTCCCCAACCATTACAATTAATTACTCCATAAATCCAATTATTTTGCGTTATGCAGGCCGAGTTATTCTTAGCACCAATAAAATGAATTACAAATACAAAATATCCTTGTATTTATTTTAATACATTTGCGGTGACAATTGGAATCGAACCAGAAATGTTTAGAATTGAGGCCCAGTATGCTAGCCAATCTACTACTGGAGCAAGCAAGTAATGGTTGTCCTATCGTATGGAATTCATGTGCAGTGTTGGCTGTGTCATGACTATTCTCATGGATAGCAATTTATTCAACTTTCCTTGTGATTGTGTTTTCTTCTCTGTTGGCAATTTTTGCTCTAGCCTATTCTATTTGAAAGCCTCATTCCAGAACTTTTCTTCAGTTTTGGCCTTGGATATTTCTCCCATTCAAGTTTTGCACTTAATGTTCAGTGATTTAGGTTTGAAGCCGCCTTCTTATCTTACGTATTACTTTTACATCTGATGCTGTATATGCAATTCCTTTGTTCTTGTTTGTATGTTTGGCAGTATTCATGATCTGAATTTTGTCTCATACTCCCTGCATACATGGAACTAGGATGGTACCTTTTGTGGTTTCTGGAGAAACAGAATAGATCATTAGCCAACCAAGCCTAGATGCGAATTTAGTATGGCGTTGTTTACTGTGACAACTAACTTGGTAGCATATAACCTCTGTAATTGAAATACCCCACTCAAATTGTATCTCATATGATATTTGTATTTGATCAGCTCTGTTAAAAAGCATAAAAAGTAATCAGTCTACATCACTATTCCCTTAGTGGGGGGCGGAGTCCAACTGGGTCCACTCGGCACGGCAGCCACTGATTGGCCTGTTGTAGCCTGTAGAACATCATTAAATACATAGCTTGAATTTTAATTATATTAAGCATTCCTATTGTGGCATGTAATTTAATCAAGTGACAGGTATTTGAACTTTTCAGAAGGTACTTTGATAACATCAGAATGATGAGCACTGTTATCTGCTGTGCAGTCCTGTGGCTTATAAATAATGCCTGTGTTTCACACATGTGTCTGAATGCCTTGGGAGTTAAGTTTCTTGTTAATAATGCTTTTTTTTTTATTTCCAGTTCAGTCATGAATATAATAAAGCAGTTAGATGTATCACGGTGCCAGAGTAAATCACTCTTCAAAAGGCAGAGTTCGAACAGAAGTGCAAACAAGGAATGGACGTACCTTCAGAATTCTGTACGACATTATGTAAAACGAAAATATCCAGTAAACCCAGAGGAATCAGAGAAATTACCTGGTAATATCGATGTGTTAATTCAAAAGAATGTAAGACAATTGTATGTTTTGTAGTTCCACACCTTTCTTGTCAGAATGAGCAATAAGGTACTGAAGTACAGACTGTACTGTACAGTTGTTACCAGCATTTCCCAGATGTATCATGCAGCTCCTGAGCCATGGCATTCATCAAGGTGATTGGATTACTGTTAAATTGCCCGACTTTTATTCAGATTCAAAATTTCAGCCAGAGTGACATATCATTAATGGGGCTTACGGTGAATTCCCTCAATTTCAAATGAAAGGTGTGATAGTGTCTGCAAGTAGACCGCTCCCCCCTCCATCCCTTCAGCTAATCACATCATCTCTTTAAGGTCATGCAGCATTTGTGAATCTATAGTCCAACTAACAAACAGAATTTCTCACACAAGTTTCCCATCTGAAAATTGTCTCCCAAATGTTCCATTTGCTAAAAAAGTCTCACCGTTTCACTGTCTAGTAACACGTGTATGGAAGGAAGTGGTTATTACCTGTTTTAATTTAAAATTCCAGCATTGCATGAAGGGACTGAGGACATGTTAGAGTAGCCTAGATTTACACTTGGGACTTCACAAATACAAAGTAGGAGTACTAACCATTTGATTATGATATTCAGTGCAGTATGTACAGTAGTTTTGAAGAAAGAACTTCTATTACAGTACATTCTTGAACAGAAAGCATTCCCTTAAAATGTTCATCTTATGGCATTATACTCGCCAAAAGTTTATGAATATTTGATTAATGATAAAATTCTGTGCAAAAGTATATGTTGGACCAAATTAAACCAACGATTGTGAAATAAGCAACTATACATCAGTCATTTCTAAGTAATGACTCTGCCAGCAGACACTAACACAGCAACTGTACTGCAACAGGTGAGTGGTTCATGTTTATATTTTAAGCAGTATGAGTTAGGAGATGGAGAGAATCAGTCAGTTGGTGTGTCAGTAAGTTAAATAACCACTGGGGTTCAGTAGTTGTGAGCTGTTGCTATGAGAAGCTGGTATCCAAGGGCAGGGACAGTTCGGGAACCCAGAGGAAGGGGAACATCTGCAGTTGGAAGTCCCTACCAAGCAACGGCTAGTGAAGACTGTAACAGTCTGAGACGACCTAGTATGTCTTATAGTGGTCTGTTAAGTGTGCAACAGTGAGAGCATAATCTGTACTTGTAGTTACAATTTGTAAGAGTTCAGTACATCCAGTTATCAATCCAAACCCCATCTATAGTCATTAAAATTATGACACTATGAAAAAGAAACTTGTGTAAAAAATAGTTTATCCCCTCTCCTCGTGACTGTGTTGCTTGGGATTTTTACTAAAAGAAACATTACTTCATTTTTATGTTTATCAATTAAGAAGATGTAAGTAATCAAAAAGCTTAATTAATTAAGCAATTAAATGTATCAAATTTAAATAAAAATGTGCAGTGAGATGGACAGGAACTGCATGTATGTGACTAAGCACAATGAACTATTGCATATGCAGGGCACAGAGGTAAAGTTACATGGACTTGACAGGGGCAAGTGGTCAGCCCTGTGCTCTGGCTGTTTTATCCAGAAATTAAGAAGCTTCTTTTAAAATGAGGCTAGATGGGTGCAGACCTAGTCAGGGTGTAATGGTGAAAAAAGAAATTCCTGCCTGTTCTGAGAAGTTTAATTTTGATTGTTACGTCCATAGCCACTTTCTTTATTAAGTGAGATATCCCAGCCCATTACAAGTTCACATCAGGGACTGATTAGATGTGAATTATATTAATCTGAAATGTTCATCAGGCATGTGGTCATATTTTTGATGTATTTATTTCCATTCCTAGAAAAAAGTGCTCATGTATGTAGGTACATTACAAAAATAACAGCATGAATTCTGCAGTCATGAACAAAGCCAACAATAGACAGTGATACAACTTACAAAACTTATTTCATTAAATAATCTTACACGTTTTCCAAATGTATTTTATTCCAATGCTAGGCAGACATTCTTCCTAATTTAATTATGTGACATTGTACAGTATAGATGATAATAGTCTAAAAATCTAATTAACACATTAAAAACATGTCTGCCTGAACTGAAGTGGAGAAGTGATGCAGACATACTGTCTACTTGGGTCCAGAGCACTTAATTTTGAGAAAGCTGTTTGCAGGGCCATAAGATGAAATTACTTTTCCTAAGAACAATACACTTTGGAATAAATTCATGAGCCTACGGTTAATAATTTTCTTGTAGTATGTGATGGCCATTCTGCTGGACTTTTCTACTGATCTGGAGTGCTTAGAAGCCATTTGCACCCCCAATGTGTGTAACCATGTTTAATTATGATATAACTTCTACATGTATAAATCTGAGGATAAATCATAATGACCCACATTTAATAATGTCCACGAGAAGGTATGAAGCTGTTTAAATTGGCAGACATGTCCATCTTCCAGGTATTTTGGTTTTATGACCGAGCTTTGCTTCCCCACTTTTGAGGGTTACAGTGACCAACCCAAAAACTGTCAGCAGGCCACACCATCAAATGGATTAAAAGAGAGAGGTGCTATTTAATTGCCAAAAATGAAGTCACTAGGTGAAAAATAATGTTTCCATCTGTAGTATACTAAACATAAATGAATGAATATGTATATATATATATGTGTGTGTGTTTGGAACACCACGCACTGTTGAGCTGGGATAGCGCAATCAGTATATCAACTGGCTGGACAACCAAGGCACTGAACTTCAGATCCCGGTAGGGTCAAGAATTTTCTCTTCTCCACATCATCCAGACTGACTCTGGGGCCCACCTAGCCACCTATCCAATGGGTACCAGGGGCTTTTTCCCCAGAGGTAAAGCGGCCGGAGCGTGAAGCTGGCCATTCACATCCGAATAGTGCCAAGGTCAAGGAAATGTGAATCTATACATCTAGTCCCCCATAAGTTTTCATGGCATGGTGCTTAATTAACTGAGCACAGGTACAGCTTTACCTTTTTTATGTATAAAGCTAACTAAAATTAGAATTTGGTGATAAACATTGTCTTAAATATTCTAATGGTGGGGTCATCGGTCTTGAATATTCTTCATTCCTCTGCAATCCAGTGTACAGTGCTAACCTGTGGTACAGAATACCATTTGCAGCACTACAATCATTTAATTTTTTAACACTAGTCTTCCAGTATGCAAGCACATCCTCACCTAAATGGCGAGTCTATGTATGGGGTGTGGCAGAGCATGGTGCTCTTGGTGTCAACCTTCAGTTGAAGAAAAGCAGAGCACCCATCCACTATCTTACAAAACCTGTCAGAACACATTTTGCAGAGCAGCATAAGGTAAGGATCTCATTCCACCAATATTATGATAATAAATAGGGGACCAGACAGGTTGCTGTAGCAATAAGATTTGTATTTTGGAGATACTACTTGGTTTGAATCATGGTCATGTTATCAGTTATCCTTAGTTGTTTCCGTGGTTTTTGCTCATTTTCTAGGTCAAGGCCAGGATAATATGTTGAAATGAGTCGTGTTTGCTTCCTTCAAAATTCTTACTTATCATTCAGTTTTATCTTTCCACCATGTTCAATGATACATAACCACTGCAGTTAAGACAGCACCATTCAATAATACGAACATATAAGAAAGAATGACATCTATATATTGTTTGTGTAACGTAGGTTTTATGAAGTGAAGGGTGATCTTGCCAATTCCCACATTTTGAATAGGTGCCCGTGTGTGTGTGTGAGAGAGAGACAGTGAACTGTAAACTGTTGTCATGCACTGTATCAAATGGTCCAGTAAATCTGATCATCCATCCTAAACCCATTTATAGTCAAACATGACAATCTCTGTCAGTATATAATCTTCACGTGCCTACCTGCAAGTTGAACATAACTGTCCTAATACAGTTACTTCTCATGTCATGTAATATTGTGCAGAAAGTAACAGCTGTTTAGCGGCCTCCGTAGTCTAGAGGTAATGTTCCCACCTCATGACTCATAGTACGCGGGTTCAAACCTGGTGGAGGTCGTCAAATTTTTAAGGGCGGAAAAATTCAGGGAACAAGTCCTCCGGGAGGGACTTTAAGCCGTGGGTCCTGTGTCGTAGCTTTACGGCACGTAAAAGAACCTCATATCTCCAAAGGAGGTCACTGAGCCAAATTACGGACGTTTCCCACCCAACAGCAGTCTCTAATACCTCTGGTAGATGGGGGAAGCATTATAGATACCTCTCAGCTAGTAGAGCCGGTCTCACTGGCTGGGCGGGACTGATGGTAAGCACCAGTACCGGTAGGATATAGAGACTGGTAGAAATCATAGAGGGAAGCACAATGGACCAATACAGGTCTAAGTGCATGGGGAAACCCACCCTCTCCAATAACTAACTAACAGCTGTTTAGTTCCAGGTGCCCCATATATGCATAACATGCAGTATTGCAAAAAATATAGAGGTTTCAATATGCTTCTCTAAATAAACATTCTCCATGAAAATGATGACAGGTAACAGCAGAGGAACAATTACCAATACCTGCGACCTGTGCTCCCATAATCTCACACATCTTTACTGTTGTATTGTATAGAGCGATACGGAGACAGTGTATTCACATATTCGAGCACTGTACACATTTAGTGGTGTGAGCCAAGAGAGTTCAGTTGCTGCAGGATGGATGACTAGGGTTCAATTCCCAGTAGAGTCAGAGATTTTTGTCTGTGCCATCTCATCCAGACTGACTCTGAGGCTTTTCCCTGAAAGTAAAGTAACTGTAGTGTGAAGTCTACAGTTAACCTCCATACAGTACAAACTTCAAGTATATATAGAACTTTACCTCCACTCCCCCATACACCTGCATGGTGTGGTGCTTAAGCATGGAGACAACTTCACCTTTCCTCTTATTTTTACTAATAGTGTACATGATGTGAAGCAATAAAACATAAATACGTCACATGCCACAAGAAGCAAATCCGTTTTGGCCTTAAAATTTCCAAATTATAAGTCATATTTTTACTGCAAGAGGGCTTATTAATGTTCAATAATAAAATGCTGTAAAGTGTCTTCTGTGTAATTATAGTATTTACAATAAGATTATTATCTTCTGGATATGATGACATGTACTAGTAGTTTTGATAGATATGTATCAATATTTTGTGAGAACCTGCTGCCTTCATTAGGTTCCCCTGAAACAGTACCCGTTCACACAACATTACATCCCAGAATACTGCATCCCCATGAAAACTCCAGGCTCTGAGTATTTGTATGTGGTATTATAACTGCAACTATTATAGAAATGCAGTCACAGATTTTCAGTTTCAAATACAGTAAATTTCTCAGGTTCACTAAGTGGTATTGTACACTGTGTTGGAAATTAATTTATGTAGGAAAAAGTACCCCTACATTAAAAACTCATGTAACTAAAAATTGTAATGGCTTTTGCCCCTCAGATTGTTGACGTTGCCTGTGGATATGGATTTACAGCACTTGCCGCTAACACCAGGGAAAAGTATAAAGTCTTTGGATGTGGCATCAATACAGATTCTCAAATAGGTAAGTTCAGTGTACTTATAAAACTTATTTATTCCATAATGAGACACAGTCAAAATGTTGTATCATGCAGATGTTGGAAGTAGCTGCCAGTCTTCCAGAGATTAGAACACTATATTTGTACCTGTCAACACAACAATTCAGGTAGTGAGTTAAGTTTCTCTAGAAGGACTGCTCAGTGGATGTAGTGATTCTTCTTTACTAGTGCTACTTCTCTGTGTGGTCTTGGCCTCCTCCATAGACTCTGGAGGTTTTATGACAGTAGATTTATCTGGGGTGAGGTTGTTAGCCCCATGCATGATCCCCAACCTGGAGGACCAGGGAGTACAGTTCATCTGGCCCCTACCCTCTGGCCTGTCTGGCATGGATGGCCCTACCAGTAGCTTGCACTCCTACCAGCATAGCTCTCGAAGTTGTTGGGGCACACAGACGTCTTCTCCATAATGTAGCTGTAGTCCTCGACAAGGGAATATACTTATTACTACATATAATTTTAGGAGCCTTCATTACAGCAGTGAGGTCGGTGTCTTTCGCCACCTCAGAAGTTCGTAAAACTGGAGTCAAATATTATTAAAACTATGAAATTGAATAATACAAAGATAAAGTGTCCTCCAGCAGTATGATAATTCAAGTTTTGTGAAAATGTCAGTTCAAAAGTACGGAAGAACAGACACACACAGACAAGATGTTAACATAGGCCCATTTTTCCTTATAAAATCATGTACTAAAGATAGTATTTTCCTTGCAGAAAGAGTATGATACTTCTACAAAGATGTTTTATGAGGGTAAGTCAATAAGTAAGTTACAAATGGATATAGAACTTAAACAAATAAGAGTAATGATTTGAAAAATGCTTTTATTTTTCAACATAATCTCCCTGTACATTGAGGCACTTGTCCGATCATTTCACAAGCCCCTGAAAAACAGTAGCATAAAACTCTTTGGGCTGCTGTCGGAATCAGGCGGTGAATTCCCTTTCTACAGCTTCATCGTCAGGAAAATGTTCAGCCGAAAGATGATGTTTAAGAGGGCCAAACAAATGGAAGTCGCTTGGAGCAAGGTCGGAGCTATATGGAGGATGCTCGAGGACTTCCCACTTGAAATTTTGCAGCGTCTCATTTGTCTTGTTGGCAGTATGGGGACACGCATTGTCATGCAAGAGCAACACGCCTTTGGGGAGGAGTCCTGGTCGCTCCCATTGAATGGCCTTACGAAGTTTCCTGAGGATGTTACAGTAGGAGTCGGCATTTACAGTTTGTCCTTGAGGCTTAATGCAGTGAGCAGTATGCCTTCGTGATCCCAGTCACTGCCTTGTTCCAACAGCAGCCCAAAGAATTTTATGCTGCTGGTTTTCAGGGGCTCGTGAAACGATGGGACAAGTGCCTCGATATACAGAGTGCTTATGTTGATAAATAAAAGCATTTTTCAAATCAGTACTCTTATTTGTTTAAGTTCTATATCCATTTGTAACTTACTTATTGACTTATCTACGTATCTACCACCTAACAGGTTATCATGCCCCACGCAGAGAGCATCCACTGCAACTGATGCTGGCACCAGCTCCAATTGAACTGCCTCTGGCAGACATCCCAAACACCAAGGTAACGAGTGTGGCTGCTGGACGGGCTCACCTCCTGGTGCTTACTGATAGAGAAGGTGTATTCACATTAGGCAACAATGCATACGGCCAGTGTGGTAGGCAGATTGTGGAGAAAGAGAAATATTCTGGCAGCCGAATTATTCACAACATACCGCATCTAACTGGAGCCAAAATCAAGAGCATTGAATGTGGACAGGACCACAGGTATCATTGCCAGTTTGATATTCTGGTCATCCAGTATTCTGACATGGAACTCGAACAACTGAATAAAAATGACCATATTTAATTTCATAATTCATTCACCCTCATTTTTCTACTGTGAAAATAAAACAAGTTTATTGATAAAGTAACAATTACAGCCTGTTTCCTTATAGTGCAAGGACTTCTGATGCAAGGTTTAGTTAAAATTGGTCCAATGTTTCTCGAATTATGAGGCCACAGAATATAAAGATCCCTTGTTAAATTATCTTGAAAATAGTGAGATTTAGAAAAAAAGCACATTAAACACACAATAGAGTCGCATTTCACGTGGGGGTTATGTTCTGTACACAGCTCTTTTTGGGCCATATTCTTTCCTGAAAGATTCTGCAAGACCTGTCTGTTCCATTGTGAATTATATGTAGCACGTCCACAAAGTAAGTTTCCCACTTGTCCCACAGCTAGCAAACCCTATATTGCGTGAAGTGACTGCACGTACGTGATAGAGCAATGATGTAGCATGGCGCATGCATTAACGGAATTTCCCGCATTCCCATAGTAGCATCATTGCAGCTGTTGAAGATGGAGGCTCTTATTCCAGCTCCCGCCGACTGTGAAGTGCGGTCAGTGATAAAGTTTTTGAATGCACAGAGCACATCGCTGATCGCAATTCATCGTCAGCTGTGCCGAGTCTATGGGCCTAACGGCATGAGCAAGTAGATGGTGCGTCGCTGGTGCAGACAATTTTCAGCAGGTCGACAAAGTGTACATGATGAGAAGCGCAGTGGACGGCCATCCATCATTACAGACGACCTGGTGGAGCTTGTGCGGGAACGCATTATGGAGAATCGTCGCGTCACAATTACGGAACTCAGCAGTCATGTCCCGCAGATTTCCCGCTCCTTGTTGCACAAAATTGTCACGGAGCACCTGTTGTTCAGGAAATTTTGCACCAGGTGGGTGCCAAAGCAACTGACACCAGAACACAAAACAAAGCACATGGAGGAGTCAGCATTGACATTTCTGAAGTGGTACCATGATGACGGCAACGAGTTTCTGGAACGGATCATCACAGGTGATGAAACGTGGATTGCACACATTACCCCAGAAACCAAGCAGCAGTCAATGCATTGGCGTCACAGTGGATCTCCCTGTAAGACGAAATTCAAGCAGACGGCACGGAAAGTGATGTGCACGGTATTCTGGGACAGACAGGGCGATCTCCACGTCGACTTCCTGACCAGAGGTGAGACGGTGAATGCTGAGCGTTACTGTGAAACACTGCAGAAATTGCGACAGGCCATTCAGAACAAGCGGCGCAGGATGCTTAGTGCCAGTATTGTCTTCCTGCATGATAACGCTAGGCCGCACATGGCTCGACGGACAGCAAGTCTCCTGCAGGAGTTCAGCTGGGAGGTGTTTAATCATCCACCCTACAGCCCGGACCTTGCTTCCAGTGATTTCCATCTTTTCATACACCTCAAGAAATTTCTGTCCGGTGAGCGTCAGCATTTTGAGAATGACAGAGAGGCGGAGATGGTTGTCACACAGTGGTTCCAATCCCAGGCGGCAAACTTCTACAACACAGGTATTCAAAAGTTGGTTCCACGGTATGACAAATGTCTCAATTCCGGTGGCGATTATGTTGAAAAATAGCTGAACACTTGCTGTATCTGTTGCAATAAATATTTCCATGAAATTGTGTTTTATTTCTGCAAACGGCCCCAGGGAAACTTACTTTGTGGACAAGCCTCGTACCATCCAGTTCTCACTTCTTTGGATTTTGCAACACTGAAGGTTCTGAAGCCTGACACGCAGTGCGTGGAACTGGAACCAATCCTTGCAATAGGGATGATGATTATGAAATTAACTTAAGTGAAAATTTTATGTTCAGAAGTTTAATTAGAGTCCAACCAAGATTTAATGATCCCTGGTTCTGTTAGCATGTGATGTAGCAATTTTAATCTGGGCGAAAGAATATAGCATTACTGTCAGATCTTCATTTCAACTCTAAATGTCCAAGAGTGCAAATGCAGCCAGGAACTGCTGAGATCTAGTAATGTAAAAATGTTCAAGTTGGTAATAGTGATCTATATTCATCTGTTTTTGTTTTGTATTATAATAAAAGTTCTTCTCATCCAATATGGATGTTAAGTAATATATAAGCATGACACTGAAGGACACCGACTCATTTCCACTGTGGGATTTTGAAATCAAGATTCTGATGCGTGCAAAAGAACTGATAAACATCGTTGATGGCAGCAACCTGTTAAGTGACCGAGGAAGAGACGAAGAAAATATAAGGAAATGGAAGATGCAAGATGCAAAGTGCCAATACGATAAGAGACACACGTGAAGACTCACATTGCAACATGCACAACTGCGAAAGAAATGTACGACACCTTGAAGCAAATTTATCAGCGAGACACCTCTCAACAGAAGTGCCTTCTGCTGCAAGACTTCTACAACTTCAAGTATGACAAAACTAAGGATATGATGATGATTAGAAGTCATGTACAGAACATTGCCTTCAAGCTTCGTCAACTGAACCAAAACGTTGATGAAAACATGATCATGACAAAAATAACAATGATTCTACCAGAAGACTACAAACACTTCAGCACCGCTTAGTACTCAACAGCGACCGTGGACAGAACCCTTGACAACCTAGTGGCCAGATTGATGTTGGAAGAAGTGAAGTGCAAGATGACGACTAAAGAAGAGGAAAGCATAGCTTAAGACAGTAACTAAAACCAAAAGTAAAACCC